GAAACAATTGCCAAACCGATAGTTGTCCTAAGAACTCGCAAGAACGCGAGCGCAAGCTTGTTTTGAAATGTCTTCTTGAGACGCCATGTGTTTATATATATATGTATATTGATGTAGATATTCGAAACATTCGATTTTGAAATCGTGGAGGAACCTAGGAAGTGTTTGAAGGATTCCGGAATGCGCGCGCGACAACGCGCGCGTGTGCACTTCGTCTCATGTTTGATCATCTGTTCCAAATCTTACTATTTGTGTTAAGCGAGTGTGCGCGCATAGTTTTTCAAATGATAGAGGGGAAACCATTACCAGTTTGGATGCGATGATGCGAATTCACACTTGGGATCGGCGATCGGGCATAATCATACGTGCATTGCAATACAAAAAGGTGAACAGTTACGTCCGGGGGTTAGACCCCAACACTCTTTGAAATGGGAGAGTATTTGATTTGCGTTGCCTTGTTTGGTTGTGTTGCATTGTACAGATCCGAAGCAGAATTAGCTTTGGTGGCCGAAGCGCATTCCCCAAGACGGAAGGCAGCGCATCGGAACAGACGGCGCGGCGACATACGTGGTGCAGTCGAACGGCGGCGACGAGCGGCGACGCCGGCGACGGGGCGGCGACGGCGACAACATGGCCGCCAGAGCGACAGACAGGCCCAGACGACGGGCGGCGACGAGGCGGCGACGGGGCGGCGACGGCGGCCCCATAGCTGGCAGACCCGCCGTCAGGCCCAGTTCCTTGGAACAGAAGAACCCCGAATGATAAGCAATACACATAACCGAACACCACGGAAATTAATCTCACAGGGATAATACAAATCGGGGTCGCGAGGGGATTATAAATGTTGCCTACCGGAGGCCAGCATGTGGGAGGAGAAAGAGATGATGTTAAGAGGACCGAAAGCCGAGGATCGAGGATCGAGAATCGAAGTCCGAGGATCGAGGATCGAGATCCCAGAGTCGAGGATCGAGGTCCGAGGATCGACGGCGGCGAGGTCCGAGGATCGAGGATCGAGGAACGATTCGCTTGAGACATCCTCGACAACATCTTCGCTTCGTTTGATGTTGCTATCTCAACATAAGAAGGAAATTAACATCGATGGTGAACTTTGCATAATGATAAAACAAATTCGGCCTCCGCGCACCGCGCCCCTGACCAAACTCTTCTTGGTCGTGGATAATCAACTCTAACCTGGAAAGGGGGGTCCTTTTTAATCATCGGCACAAGGTTACCCCGAATCCTTTGGGAGTGGCCATAAGTTAGCCGAAAAGATTAAGGATATGGGGGTCTCTTTTGCATATGTCTCAGACAACACCACCCACATGTTTAGGGATGACCCTAAAACCGAGGACCTAAGTTAGGCCACGAATTCATTGTGTCATGAGGGTTGGGGGGTGCATTCTGCTTAACGACCTGAGTGCAAGCACTGTTTGCGGAATCTCTAACCCCCCCCCCGGCCCGAATAGATTCATATCCACCGCCCGCCGAGGCTCCCGAAGCTCGATCCCCCAAGGCGGCGGTTCTGGATTAATCATCGCCTCGGACGCTGAGCAACCCGCCTCGACGCTGAGAGACCCGCCATGAGAGGCCGCGGGGACAGACATGGCTGCGGCAACGGCATGCTCTGAGGACATCCGTTTGTGATTTGCGATAACGCCCGTTACCAGCCTCGCCCCCCCCCGTCCCCCTGATAACGTCACGCGCGAATCGTGACGTTACCAGTCCCCTCCCCCTCCTCCCCCCCCCTGTCACGCCCGTTCATCACCAGTGGATAAAACAATGGTCTCAGACCTCCTCCCCGCGAGATGCTGCGGCACGGGCGTTCGAAAAATCACGAACAAGTCTATTTCTCACGATCGCCGCTGCGTGCCCGCATTTCGGCATATGAGAAGTCCTGGCGCACATCAAACACATTAAGCACTCAGGGAAGCGTATCGACACGACAGAAAGCTGGGTCCCAACGTATTGCCGCCCCTGGGGAGCTGACAGCGGCACGAGGTGTACCGTGAGCGACAATAAAAGAGCTCTGGCATGGGACCTGTGGCCCAGAAGCAGAGCGGGGGGGATTCAACGAAGGCCTGTTCTCCCAGACGGGGGCCTGCCTGGTCTCAGCTTACAGCAGATTTGAATCGGCGCACTTAGCACAAACCACAACCATGTCCCCCTACGAATTTTGGACGAAAGAATACAAATCCGCCGACCCTGTCGGCGTAAGGAAGACGCATCCTGGTGTCGTCGTCTTGCGCGGATCACCGTCGTCGTCGTCGTCGTCGTCGTCGTCGTCGCCCGAAATAAAAGGAAATTGAACACGAAACATAAGGAAATCGTAGTCGTGGCGAAGCCCCTCCCTACCCTCCCCACCGGGGGGCGTGGGGGTGGAGGGGGGGTGGGCGGGGTGGGTGGGGGGGGGTCCCCCCGGGTGACCCTCTCCCTCCCTCTCCCCTCCCCCCTCCCTCCTCCCCCTCCTCCTCCTCTCCCCTCGCCTCCTCCTCCTCTCCTCCTCGGCTCCTCCTCCTCCTCCTCCTCCTCCTCCTCCTCCTCCTCCTCCTCCTCCTCCTCCTCCCCTTCCTCCTCCTCCTCCTCCTCCTCCTCCTCCGCCTCCTCCCCCGCCACGTCTTCATTTACCTCCGACGTCTTATCACGCATCCCGTCACCCTCGAGGGCCGAAGTATCCAGGGTCGGCGGCACTGGCCGTAAGGCCTTAGCAATACCCCAAAAATGCACAAACAGTAGGAAAACAATGCTCGACAAATCGCCCCCAGACTATTTGTTTGCCTATGTTTGAACCTTCCTCCTGTAGGGGCAGGCCCGACGTAAAACTTATACCGCTCCCTGCCAAGGGGAGGCTGCTGGACAGGGAGGAATCCACGGGCTCAGCCTTCGCATCTCCGCGGCCGCGCCTGCGTTTGGGGCCGCGGCGGTCTGCTGAAAACTTGGACCACCCCTGGAGAATCCTGCGATGAGCCTCTGCAATTCACAAAAGCACCAGAACCATGCACTTCTAGAGCTCAACGCGGAATTCTCGGAGCCGCGATCTGAACCCGCGGCCGTGCCCGCGTTGGGGCCGCGGCGGGTCTGCTGAACCCTCGGCCCCCCTGGGAGAATCCTGCGACAGGCCTCTACGATAAAAACACTAGAAGCATGCACTTTCGGTTAGGTCTGGCATGTCCCCCTCCAGGCGGATTTAAACTAAGGAAAATTGAAAAATAGTCAAAAGAAGCCCCGAAATGGTCAAATATAATCCAAAAATCGTCCCCAGACGGTTTTCGAATGTTTTTGAATATTCCCCTGTAGAGGGACACGCCCGACTTAAACCCCTGCCACCTTGAATCGATGTGCATGCAAGTTTCTCACACTCGAGATTACGCTCCCGAGGGGCCTCGAGGCCCCCAAAAAGATACCATAATGCACCTCCAGAGGCGCCTCCAACAAGCGCCCAAGCACGAGGCAACGCCACAGCCGTACCGACGCTCGGCCAGCACAAGGCAGTTCTCCGGAGGCCCTCAGGGGGAGCTCGGTACGGTAGGTTCGCGCGGCGTCGGCGCCCGCAGAGGTTTTTGACACAGCGTCGATCCTTTTTCAACATCGAACAGATCGCGGCCCCGATCGTTCAAGATTGAATTCCGTGTGGTCCTGTGGCGTTCGGTGCTTCTGCGGCGTTCTACCGTGTGGAATTCAACCTTGTACGCCTTCGCCGGCGTCGGCGGCGCGCCATCGCCGCGTGAACCTACCGTAGAATTATGCTGCATTCGGCGGAGGGTCGAGGGGGAAAGTGAGACAGCGAAGGCCGTCTCAGAAGGCGGCGGGGCTTCTGAGAGGGCTTCGGAGGCTTCTCAGAAGGCTGGAGGCCGTGTGAGCCTCCTGCGCAGGCCCGCCGATGCATGCATTTCGATGGCTCGCTGGCACGGCGTCGGGGTTCGCCACAGGTAGCTGCATACCTACCTGCGTAGGCTCCGACACATACATAAATACCAGACTCGAAATCAAGCATCTCAACAACCACATGCCTCGTTACTCTCTGAAGGTGGTCTTAACTCCTGCATGTGCTTAGTTCTACACGCTTAGTTGAGTGGTGGCGCGAATGCATGAGCCTGCTTCAGCTGAGTTGAGGAGGACTTCTGATCCATCCACCGCGATGGCCGAAGAACGAAGCAAATTCGTCGACCGCGTGCTCGCTTCTGCACGTCCGCTGAACAATGCCCAACGAATCCCGATTCGCCACTGAGGTCAAGCAGCCATGCTCGGGGCCAGCAAACCACGATCAACAGAGGATGCGGTCTGTGATCGGCAGTCCCAACAAGGACGTGTAGTGTCCTGGATCTGCAGCGCAGGAAGCCCATCGTCAGTCTGGAGTCGGACACTAAGGGGGGAGGCGCGAGAGGGGACGTGTCTGCAGCAGGACAAGCCGAGCGAAGCGCTGGGGAGTGAGCAGGAGTAAGAATATGAGTTCCAAGATTGGGAGGATGGGTACGAGACTACATTGCAAGATGCACATATCTTGCTGGAGTCAAAGGCCAGCAGAACAGCCCAGGACCGGAAGCCAGAAGGGCTAGAAAGCCTATTGTCGACTTGGGCCAAATTACTTCAACATGCCAGAAATCGCCCGCCTAGATTCACATCTGGCTCACAAATCTGACCGTCCAACATGAAGGACCTGGGTATTGGGACTCGGCGGTGGCGCCACAGGGGGATTGGGGCTACTGATAAGCGAGAGCACCGCAGACTGGCGAGCCTGCACCAAAAGATGGCAAAACTCATGATGACCAAATGACTCGGAACTCAATTGATTGGTCTCCAGGACAGTCGGAAAAATGAAACAGAGCCGGCAAGCGTGAGTTGGAATCGCGGGACATGAGATGCCGAACGATTTGCAAAGATAATGCATCCCGAAAGAGCTGATGTCGCCAAGCTGCGAATCATTCGCACCTTTCACAACACACTGTCTGAATTAGAAACGCATGGCTTCTGCAAATGGTAGCAACATGGGTGGGTCGATGGTCCTCCTGACCCATCTCCAAGATCAACGACCTACGGCATTCGCAATCGTAAATCACTGTCAATGTATTGACGATTCCATTGGCATGCAGTCAGCTCGAAAGAAGTGTATGCTCGATTCCGCGGCTTGTCACGAGTGACGATTTCCAAACACTATGAAACCATGCATGGCATGCAAATGATAGTCTACCTCAATCGTGCCACCGTGATGGAACTCATGCATACGAACTACGCTCGCGAACGAGTCGACTGACTGGCCCGACGCGCCAAACCAACCTGAAGCGTATTGACCAACTCCGGAAACCCTGAACTAGATGTTACTCAGCGTGGGCCCAATAAGTAAGTCGTTGCACTGTGAATGTGCAAGCTGCGTGGTGCAATCATGGAGTGAAGACTACATGATGCAAGCAATGCGGTGCAATCTATGCGGTGCCACAATCTGCGTGGTGAAAGCTGTGTAGTGTAATATTTGCGGTCCAAACTATGTGGTGTGAGATATGCGGACCAGTCTAAGTGATGCAGGCTCTGTGGAGTAAGGGATGTGGTGCAAGCTACGTAGTGCGGTCCTACGTGGTGCAAGGTACGCGGCGATGCAAGCTGTGTGGTGCAAGCTACGTAGTGCACGCGGGACACCCGCGAGGCGTCACGGGCCCACAACGTGGCGACAACCCCGCTGTACCGGGGCGCCCACGAGGCGACACGGGGCCGCAGCGTGGCGACCACCCCCCTCCCCAAATGCAAGCACTGTATGGGGAGCAGGTATGCGCAATTAACTCAAAAGGGCGCTTCTTTCATGTGCCCGCTTCCGCCGCCATCCGCTGGTGGAGTCGCTCCATTTTCCCTTGCGCTGCCCCTGCGCCAGCCTTCCGCCGAGGAAAAGATGGCAGCTCTTCGATCCATCGAAGCCGAGGCACTTTCGGAACGCCCAGTGGGCATGGCCCCACGCGGCCCGCATGGTTGCTGCCCGACCTGAGCTCGCTGTTTGATATCTGTGAGGGCGGTGACCGCGAGCCAGTCGGCCCACCCTCCCCCGCCCAACAAGATGAACCGCCAGCGGGTATCGCCCAGTGCCCAGCAGGCCTTCCCTAGCCGAGCCTGGTCTCGGCAGCGCTTGGGGAACACATCTATCGCCACACCTCCTCCTTCCCTGCAGAAGGTCGGCATGAAGGACAAGGATCCCCAGGGAAACAGATCCAGGATCCGGCTTTTCGCCCCGAATCGCTTCTGACAGTCCAGGGGCCCGTGTCAGCGCCCCAAGGAACGACAGCAAAACGGAGCGACAACACAACGCACGCAGGTCCCTCAGGACACTTCCACGAGGAGGAGGAGGAGGAGGAGGAGGAGGAGGAGGAGGAGGAGGAGGAGGAGGAGGGAGGAGGAGGGAGGGAGGGAGGAGGAGGGAGGAGGAGGGAGGAGGAGGGAGGAGGAGGGAGGAGGGGAGCAGCAGTTGCACGTCGGGGTTCTGACTACCGCTTGCCTCCGGAACTGGGAGGCTCTCCCGGTCTCTGGCCGCCAACGGCGCCCGTGCCTGCCCGTGGCCTCCCCGTGCGCAGGGCGGGCTTCCCGAGGCTGCGCCTCCTTTGCGCCCGTGCCCCGACGGGCGCCCCGTGCGCCGAGGGGGCTTCCCGAGGAGCCGCCGCGCTGGCGCCCGTGCCCGCCCGTGGGCGCCCCGTGCGCGCTCCGAGTGCCAGGTGGGCTTCCCGGAGACTCGCCGCGCCGGCGCGCGTGCCCGCTTGCACCACACAGCTTGCACGGCATAGCTCACACCACACAGCTTGCACAGCATAGCCTGCAGCGAAAGGCCTACACCACATAGCTGACACAACATCAGAGGGCAGAAAATCCGGCCCCCCTAAGAATCACCCCGACAAGCGAAGCCGTAAACGCACCCCAGCGAGGAATCGAACAGAGCAAGGCTTTCAATACACACCCAGGGCCGTTTAGTAAACGCCAATTGTCCGGTCTGGGTGGTTGCTTGCTCGCCACACGGCCCACACCGCAACGCTTACACCACATGACTTGCACTCCACAGCTTCCACCTCGACACTACAATCATCATCTGTTTGGGAGTCGAACCCTGGCTAACATCGCGTGCGCGCGCATGTTCGGAGATCCGTGGCGGATTTCTGACATCGGCGCTGCGCTCCCCTCCCTGGCGCGCGAAGGACGCCCGGGAGGGGCGGCGCCGTCCGAGAGTCCAAGTTTACGAGGCTGCCTTCGTGACGGAAGCGGTTCGAGGAGGCAGGAGGGAACCGGATCTGAGGTCGGAGCCTCCGACGCGAGATGGGAGGCGAAGGAGGCGAGGGTGGCGGGCGACAGAACTGGCTCTTCGATCGCTGGGGCAGCAGTGTTCGAGGACAGAGGGCGAGGGAGGCGGGAGGAGAAGAGGAGAGAGGAGCAGAGGGGAGACGAGGTCGAGGGAGGAGAGGGGAGGAGGAGGAGGAGGAGGAGGAAGATGGAGGAGGAGGAGGAGCAGGAAGAGGAGGAAGAGGAGGAAGAGGAGGAGGAGGAGGAGGAGGAGGAGGAGGAGGAGGAGGAGGAGGAGGAGGAGGAGGAGAGGGGAAAGGGAGGGGACAGAAGGAGGGGCGGGACATCCTGAGAGCCAGTGGGGGGCGCCACCACCGCGAACGGCAGGGAACGAGGGAAGGGATCGGGGAACAAATTATGGCATAAACCAAACATCCAGAGTGCGAGCGGATTTCTTGGACCCCCTCCCTGGCGCACGGAGCTCGCCAAGGGCGGCGCCAGAGGCGCCGTCAAGGGAACCCGAGCGCGGATCCGAGAAACCCGCGCGGAACTCGGAGAAAACATGTGAATGCCGCTGTTTGCTCTTCGAAGGCAGGGAGGGGGAGCGAGGAGGCGTGGGGAGGGAGGAGTTTTCAATTCCACCTACAAGGGGATTTTTGGCGAACAAGTAAATATTCAAAACATGCCCCCAAAATTCGCAAAACAAAGAATCGAACATCGTCCCCAAACTATTTTTACAAATTTAAAATGTTCCCCCTGTAGAGGGACACGCCCGACTTACGAGGAGCGGGGGAACGCGGTGCAGAGCTCACAGCGCGATATCCCCCCCCGCGCTCGCGCCGAGGCGAAGGTGAAAGTGGGGGTCTGGCGCAGGGTCCCGGCAATGGTGCCTCGATATGGGCCACGCATGGGCGATACATCCTCCACTGATGTCTTCGGCGGGGGAACCAATTGAAGCTCTCCGCCTGCACCCATGCGCGAAAATTGAAGGTAAACGAAACAAGGAGGCGGGGGGCTCGGGCAAGGCGACAAAGGCAACGTGCGCTGAGCGCGCAAAAAGAAAACGTTGGAATAAACGAAAGCGGTGAGGTGAGTGTCAGAATCTGCCCAGCCAATCTGACACGCGGAACACTGCCCCTGCGTTTGGGGGATCTGTAGGGCCAAAGCAAAAATGTGAATTCACATGGTGAGGAAAAGGAATATGTGAATTATCACTCTGGGAAAACAGGAAAATGTGAATTCACAGTTTGGAACAAAAGAAAATGTGAATGCACTTTTTGGAACTCTGCTTATGAATCTTTTCGAGGGGGCCAGAACGTGAATTCACATGTTGGGAAAAAACGAAAGTATGAATTCCCACGTTGGAAAAATGGAAATGTGAATTCACATGTTGGGAGAATCGCGGGACCCATTCCAAATCTGTCTTGGGGATCGACATGTCATCGTTTGGGAAAGTACCCGATCATGAATCGCACGCTCACCACACGCTTGCGCTCCACTTCGCCGCCCCACGCGCGATATGCAAGAACGCCCGCACGCATGAACGATAATGGATGGACGGCGCGTTTGCCCGCGCGGGCAACGCGCGGGCACGAACGACTGGCCCTCCATGACCGCCAACACTGGATGCCAATCATACCCGATCACATACATGAGCGATATATTGAACCTACATGGGCCATTCAGCCCCCATTCCCTGACCTTCCAGGAGGGCTAAAAAATGGCACCCGACGTAAAAACCTATCCCAGAGCTGTTCTACGTCTTGGTTTCAGGCTGTTTCGTATCGTTTTTTAGGGTTTTAGGCCTCCAGTGCTAAAAAATAGCTCTCTGGAAGGTCAGGGTTGAAGACCCCCTGTTGCAGACCCCCTGGCCCCAGGGCGCGCGCGAGGCGAGGCCGGCCCACGCGCTTCCGCGGCAGAGACGCACGGGGACGCCCCGCCCTGGCGGCCCGAACACCAGCATTGACGGCCGGCTCCGCCGCCGCCTCTGGGGCCCTCTGGAGACCCGCTTCCGCCCGGAGGAGGTCCAGGGAGGCCTCCAGAGGCCCCATGGGGGCACCGAATAATAAAAGACGCGCCACGCCATCGATCCTCGGACCTCGATGCCCGTCCCTGCCCCTCCGAAGGAACTGGCGACGCGCACGAGGGGGGGGGGGGAGGGAGGGGGGACGTCTTGGAAGGCAGCGGGCTTCTCAGAAGCGATCGGAGGCTGCGAAGAAGACCCCCGAGAAGGCCCCGATCCCTAATCCTTTCTGTGGAGCGCTCTTCAGTAAGCAGAGCAACGCCTTCCCCTCGCCCTGCCCCTCCCAGCGCGCTGCCAAAGGGAGATTCCGCGTTTCGCAACGTAGGCCCCCGCAGGTCCACACCACTTCCGATGTGTGACGTTCCTGAAGCCAGCTGAGGGCCCCAAAAGGCCGAAGTTGGCCAAACAACTCCCGTCGTGCTGTTTTCGCAACGAGAGGAAGTCTGGGGGAGGGAGGAAGGTATGAGAAACAAACAATGTGCGCGGACTGGCCCACGGGGGGAAGCATCAAGCTTCAAACGGCGATACATCGCCGAGAGATCGGCGATAGGCTTTAGATAGCAAATCCGCATGCTCCTGGGCGGGGTGGGCTATCGGGTCCCTATTGGTGATGAATGGGGGGTCGATGTATCCCCCACTGTTGAGCAGGGACCGACCGTCCCGGCATTTCTATACGCCTACCACGAATTTTTCTTTGAACCGACAAATGTTCGAATAATAAAACAATTTTCTTTGAACATAAGCCTGCTTTGATAAATCATCACAGTCCCAGCCAAACATGTTCTAAGAACGTTTCCTGCAGATCACAAAAGATTACGAACACATTCTTTGGTTGGCCTATAGGCGAGCCAGGACGCTTCGCCACTGCTTGACACCGAGCCTTTCTGCCCCTAACGTTGCCCCGACAATAGGTCGCCAGAGAATCGCCAGAAGCACCCAAACCCCGCAGAGTCCACGATGCCGGCGGCGGCGGAGAGAGGCCACGAGCTGCCCCGCCGAAGGTCACCGAAGGCCGCCGAAGGCCGCCTCCGAAAGCGGGCTAAGCCCTCCGTCGAAGGGCGGCGAAGGGCCGCCGAATGCCTTGGCCGACAGCGAGCTTTAGGTCGGGCCTGTCCCCCTACAGGCGGATTTTTGGTGATTTTTTCAAACAAAAAACACTAGACACTAGACATACCCACCCCCCCAAAAAAAACAAATACTAACAAGAATCGCCCCCATACTACTTTTTGACCATCTTTAAAGTGTTCCCCCCTGTAGAGGGACACGCCCGACTGAAGCCTTGGCCAACAGCGAGCGAAGCCCTCCGACGAAGGCCGGGCGGAGGGCCGCCGGAGGGCCGCCAGCACCCGGGCGCTGCCGGGCGGCGCGCGGAGAGCGAGGGGGCGGGGGCGGCAAGGGCCCGAAGCGATAGCGGGTGATGAGACTGTTGACGCGGTCGCCTGCGCGGGAGCGTCGTCGTCGTGCGTCGTGGCTCGACGTGGCCGCGATCCTGGCGACCCCAGTTGTTTCGAGCTGGCGCTTTCGCGTCTATAGTTTCGGGCCCCGGGGCCCTCACGGATCGAGCCGGCTCGGGGAATGGCGCAGGAAGGTAGGGTCTATGGGGCTCCAGGCTCGACTTTCCACAGCGTCTGGACTTTTTTGAGACGTCGGATCAGGGTTTGGCGCTCGTCGTCGTGAGTTACCATCGTCGTCGTTCGTCGTCATCGTCGCTTGGCGCTGTTGCCGTCGCCGCCGTCGCCGTTCGCCGTCTGTCGCTGTCGTCGTCGGTCGTCGTCGTTCGTCGCTGTCGTCCTCATAGTTCGTCGTCGTCGTCGTCGTCGTCGTTCGTCGTCGTTCGCCGCTGCATTATATTATCCCCCGTCCTTCCTCTCCCGACGGATATGCACACCCACGACCGAGAAGTCGCAGGGGGCGACCCCAACTGCTTGCAAATCTTGTTGCACGGCTCTCCAGCACAATGCCACAAAGCCTTTGGCGACCCTTGGCTGTGATGTTGTTCCTCCCTCTCTTTTCCTCCTCTTCTTCCCTCCTCCGTCCCAATCCCCCCATGTCATCTCACATGCATGTTCACTTTGCGAGTGTAGCTATACCCGCCGTCCACCACTGGTCAATGCATACTGGCTGTATTCCGGCGTGCCTGCCTTCCGCATCATTGGTTTCCACTTTTCTGGCCCTTCGTTTGCCAATGTGCGGTCCAGGCGCAGCTTCTTCCTGTCCTGTCCTGTCCTGTCTCCCAGCGGACATACCTACGTACCCCTTTCCCCGCGCCCCATCCTCCTCATACGCATTCCGCTCCCTGCTCCGACGCAGCTGCTGATTACCCCTCCTGAACCTCCCCAGAGCTCCTCAGAGGCACCCAGAAGAAGACCCTCATTCCTCGATCATCGTTGTTCCTGGACGATCATTCCTCACTCCCAGAACAATCAGGGCAAAACTCGATCATCGTTCCACATTCACCTCCTCCACCCCCTCTCCTCTCCTCTCCTCTCCTCTCCTCTCCTCTCCTCTCCTCTCCTCCTTCTCGACCCGCTCTCGTCGCCAGTGTGGTGCCCGCCCGGCAGCTTCAGTCTCCTCGCCGCGCGGCTCCCTCGCTCAGCATCAGGGCCCCGACACGGGGAGGGGAGGACGACGACGATCAGGGAGAGAGGAGATAGGAGAGCCCTCAACTCTCGGCCTCTAGCGATTCGACCACGAGACGGCGCCGAGCATTCGTGCTTCTTCTTATTCTTCCTCTTCTCGGATCCTGGGGCCCGGCACCAGCATGCGAGAACTGGAGAAGACTTCTGTGCATCCCTCGCTCCTCGCGATATAAGGGGGGCCGTTGCCGGCCCTGGCCGCCCCACCCCTCCCCCACGGCATAACGCCACGACTCGGCCGACCCCCTGGATGCTCTTGCCCCATCCTCCCAAGACCGGCCCCCCCGCCCCCCTCCCGCTCCCGCCCCCCGGGTAGCGCCGGGTGCAACCCAGGAATGAAAAAAATACGCTCTCGGGATCGGGATGAGGAGCTGGCCCTGGGCGAGGGATTCTGGGACGTCCAGGGGCCGGCGACTCGAAGAGATCGAGACGTCGGAGGTCTTGGGAGCCGTTCTCCTTGGGGCCCTAGCAAGTCTACTTGCATGGAAAGGGGAGGAGGGGCCTGGCGAGGTCCGGAAGGGACTCTTAAGCTTACACCCTGCGAAATGCTTTAGAAATCATGGGTTAAGAAATTCATAGTCTCAGAATCTGAATAAAAAACCCAGAAAGTCTATTCAAATCTTGGGATTTACATTGAAACATTAAGAATAATCGAGACTCTGGCCGAAAACTTAGGTTTTCTTAAGCATCGCCTAAGGTGTACGGTGATGGAACACCACCGCACGCCTCAGAGCCGAGCGCGCTTTGGGCGCGGCCGTCGACGTCGATGGGCTCACGGACGAGCAAGCAAGGCCCACCTCGAGGCCGTTAGCAAAGGTCACCGCTGCAGCAGACAACGCTTAGGTCGGGCCTGTCCCCCTACCGGGGGATTTTGGGCGAAAAACTGAAAATACGACAAAAAAAGACTCCCCAAATGCCCCCAAATCGTCAAAACATCGTCCCCAGAATATCTTTGTTTGACAATTTTTTGATATCCCTCCTGTAGAGGGACAGGCCCGACTTAAGCCTACCTCGAGGCCGCTAGCAAAGGTCACCGATGCGGCAGACAACGCGCCCGTGCGGGGTGCAGTGCGTCTGCTGAGGCGGCATGTCGACGGCTGTGGCAAGGTATAGCCCTGGGCGGAGCCCGCGTCGAGGGCGGCAAGCTCCGGCGGCAACACGAGAGCGCTGAGCCGCGCGCAAGAGCCGCGGCGTCAGGTGAAGGCAGGTCGGCGCGCATGCCGGGGGCGGTAGTGTGGGCTAACATCGGGGGTCCCCAAAGCGGTGCGGTGACAGACCGTGCGGCGACCTCGAAATCCCTACCTCACCGCACAGTCCTTGGGGGCCCCATTCGCCCGATACGTCCTCGAATAACGACCAACGTCCCCAAACCGCGCAATCCCCACTGACTCACCACACGCACTGGGAACTCTCATTGGAGGCGCACGTCCGACTGGAACATGCACCACATCATCAATATGAGGAGATACCTTCATCCACGCGGCACAGCCGCCACGGCCGAGAACCCGTCGCGGACCTTACACCATGAGATGCGTCATCGTCCAAGCTGCGCCTGCGGGGCCGACGGACACTCTTTGGCGTCGCAGCCACGCGCGCAGCAGAGCAGCGGAGCCGGGCAAAGCCGAAGAAGGGCGCGGGCCCGGCCAGCTCAGAAGCAGCAAGGGCATGCCGGGTCCACCCATGCAGGACCGCGCGACATGACTCGCGGGGGGGGGGCAGCCGCGAGGGGGGGAGACCCGACGCACTCCTCCTGCAGCGGCCGGGCGACGGCACAGAAGCGTGCACTGAGGCGGGGTGCGCTCGGCTCAGTGACCACCTGGCGTGGCAGAGGGCGGGTCAGGCTTCGAGCTGACGCAGCCGTAGAAACGAAGGATTCCAACTGAGTCAAGCAAGATACACCCTGCGAAATGCTTAAGAAATCATGGGTTAAGAAATTCATAGTCTCAGAACTTGAATAACAACCCAACATATCTATTAACATCTCAAGATTTACATTAAAACGTTAAGAATAATCGAGACTCTGGCGGAAAACTTAAGTTTTCTTGAGCATCGCCTAAGGTGTACGACGCCCACACGCAGCACAACCACGCCGGGGCGGTGCCGGGGCGGTGCCGCACACCACGCACCCGGGCCTGCCGCTCCCCCTGCGCCGCCCCTGCCGCGAGAGCGGCGCTCGCCTGCCGCGCCGATGCGGGGCAACACAGAAATCGATGCCGCCGCTGCCCCGGTCTGGGGCGACGAGGGCTCTCCACGACGAGCGCCACTCCCCAGACTGACTGGCCTGTTTTCCACCACCACCACCATAAGTTGGAGGGGGGGAGGAGGAGGAGGAGGAGGAGGAGGAGGAGGAGGAGGAGGAGGAGGAGGAGGAGGAGTAGGAGTAGGAGGAGGAGGAGGAGGAGGAGGACCCCCTCCCCCTCCAACTCATGGTGGTGGTGGTGGAAAACAGGCCCATGACAGACCTGTCCCGTGGTGCGCTCTGGCCAGGATTTCGTGGAGAGTCCAGCCGTGGCGACAACGGCTCTCCCAGACCAGCGGCACTCCCTGGACCTCTGCCACTGTGTGTCTTGGCCAGCTAGGCAAGAGAAATCCGGCCGTGGCGACGAGGGCACTCCCCAGACCTGTCACGTGGTGCGCTCTGGGCAGACTTCGGAACGAAAACCCGATCATGTCGGCGAGGGTTCTCCATGAAGAGCAGCAGTATCGGTACCGCTCCCTCCTCGGAGCCCCTGGGTGCTGCAGAACGCGTCCGCTCCCAGACGCGCGGCGATGTGCTCTTTGGGGCCCGCGGGTCCCAGAGGCCTCGTTCCACGGGGGTTTGGTGTTCGGCCCGGCCCCGGGCCCAAAGATGGCCCCAGAGGCCCAAATCAACCAACAAAAACTAAATGGAGACAGCCAGTCCGCCAGGTAGGACCAGAGAAGTTTGGCACCACCACAACTTACCATCGCAAGGACCTGGGGAGAAGCCGCCTGGTGGTGTGGCCCCCATTGTGTGCGGCATCTTTGGGAGGCATCGTGGGCCTCGTTGATGTAAGCGGTTCCCTCCTTGCAAGAGGTCTGGGTCCCCGAATACCTCCGACGTCGTGACTGTGTCACAGCGTGGACACCCCCGAAGTCCCGACCACCTTCTCGGGGTTGGCTTTTCGTCCTGAACCTGTCTTTCACAATCCCCGGGCCCAGCGGGGGCCCCCAGGACCCGAAAGCAACCGAACCCCCCCTGTGGTGATTCATTCGCGACGTGAGGGTGTCGGCTTTCGGGCCAGAGCTTGGGCCTCCGACGAGCGATCGCTACGATTCGGAGACCCCCAGAACGCTCCCGACGAGGGGCAGCTGCTGGACAGCACCCCCAGGCAAGAAATCTCACCGAACCCAGGACAGCTCCCAGAAGCATCACGTCGTGATTGTGTCACGATGGAAAGAAGCAAGGCGGGGATGTATGAGCGTGGGTCGAGGGTTCACATGGCCCTCCTCCCGCCTCCCCCAGACGGGATGGACCCCAGGGTTCCACAGGCCCCCCCGGCACCCCCCCACACCACGTCACGCTCCCGGGGGGGGGGGGGCAAGGGGGAAATCCCTCTCGCGAGGCCTTCGCGAGGCTCATGGGCGTACCCATCCAAGGAGGTGGGAGGGGACAGGCCGATCTCAGTAGCGTTGGGAGGGGCGAAGCCCTGGATCATATAACTGCACACGGTCCCCTTAGTCATGGGTAACTGACCCACGGCAACCTCAGGCCCGGCAAGGAAAACTGATACGGCAGCGCCCAAGACGGCCCCAGATGGCTCCAAGACGGCCCCCGAGGGCCCCGGGAAGCCTCATGAGTGCCCGACGAACGCTCCAAGACGGCCACGATGGGACCAAGATGGCCCCAGATGGTCTTAAGATTTTCCGTCGACGGCCCAACGAGTTCCCCGGATGGCCCAAAAGGGTTCGAAAACGACCCCCAAGATGCTCCCCAGGAAGCCAAAATCACATTTCCCTGCGGTTTCGACTACGGCCTTCCCGCCTTCACGGCGTCGAAGTCGAAGCACACCCAGGAGCCCCCCAAACCGCCGTAGAACAGTTCAAGAGAGCCCCAAGAGTACTGGGTGTTGTCTTGGAGACGGAAGCTGTTGAGTGCAGGGTGTGTTCTTGGAGACGGAGGCTGTCCCCGCAAAATTCACCGAACTTGAAACGCACATTATACAAGACTGCGTTGGCGTTTCGCGCCATGCGCCTTGTTCTGGACGCTTCCCCAGCAAAACAAAAAATCATCGCTTGCTTCAGCAAGGGGGACCTCGAAGCCTGGGCGGGCGACTGGCTCATTTTTCTGATCTCCCAGGTGCCTGCTGACACCGCGTTCGCCTGATGCGCTTGCACGCTTGTGCGCAGGAGCGGGGAAGACATGATGATTTTTCCACGCGCGAAGGTCCTTCGAGGAAGTAAGGAGCGTTCCCATGACACGCCGAAGAAGTCCCAGTACCTCCGAACAAACCCATGTTTGGTCGCTTCCTGAATGCCTGGAGGGCCCCAGGCACTCAGGAAATCGTCGATCGTCGAACTTCGAATCTAGATCCATTCCATCTCTCTCTCTCTCTCTCGATCGAGGAATGTAGACCTCGAGCCTCAAGCGTGGAACTAAGATCGTCGGGACAGCTCGATGTGCTTCGTTGGAGAACGCCGTCTGGGCGTTTTTGGTGCTCTCTTGGGCCGTCCTGGGGCCCTCTTCGGCCGTCCTGGGGCCTTCTTGGGCCGTCTTGAGGAGCTGGGGCCCTCCAGAAGTCTTCTGAAGCCATCTAGGGCCCTCTTGGGGGCCTCCAGTAGCCTTCTGAGGGTCTCCCATGGCTTGTGTAGGTCTCTCTTGGAAGCCTTCTGGGGGCATCTCGGGCTTCTTGTGTGCAGTCTCGAGGCTCTCTGGGGCAGTCTTGGGGCCCTCGTGGGTCTTGGGCCGTCTTCAAACCCTCTGGGGGGCCTCTTGGGCCGTCTTGGGGCGATATCGGGGGCCCATCGGGCCGCGCTGCGAAGACCTAAAACGCGGAGATGCTAAAAATGCACATCTTACTAAGGGAATGGAGCGATGATTGCTTCTTCAAGGCTCTCTCAACGGCCTCTTGGGCGTCTTGGGGGCCTCTTGGGCCGTCTTCAGACCATCGAGGTTCCTCCCGGAGCGCTCTTGTGCTGTCTTGGGTCTCTCTTAGCCTCTCTGCTGACCCCTCTGATCGCCTTGAATATGCTCGCAAGTCCTGGCAAGGCGCCCTGGGAGGCCCAGAAGGGCCAGCGGACCTTTTCCAAGGGCGCCCAAGGGGCCGCCGAGACGCCCGAAAGGGGCGTCCCTGGGGGTCCCTGGGGGGGGGGTCCGATTTAGGGGGGGGGGGGGGGGACGGGTAATATACGCATAAAAAATTCGCCGGCCCAACGGGCCAGAGGCGTGCTAAGATCTCCGGTGACTGCTTTACAATCTTCCTACTTCGCGCGCGCGGGGCGGCCCCTGGGGGCCCCCGGGCGGAAAGTACCCCGGCAAGGTCCCGAGAGAGTCCCGGGAGGAGTCACCAGGGCGCTCCACCAGCGCACCAACGCGGCTCCGAGACGTCCCCGAGAGCCCCAAGAAGGGCCAAGAGGCTTCCAAAAGGCCCCCAAGATGCTACATGAGGGGTCCGAGATGCCACAAGATCGCTCCAAGACGCCCACGATGGCCCCCAGACGCCCCAAGAGGCCTCCAAGAGCACTCCCGAGAGGGCCCCAAGAGGCAAAATTCACAGCTTTTCCTTAGGTTTTGGAGAGATTTTGGCGTTTCCACCTTTTCGGCTTCACGACACCCCAAGACGGCCCAAGAGGCCCCCAAGCCCGCCCCAAGAGGGCCCAAGAGGCCCCCAAGAGGGCCCCAAGACGGCCCAAGAGGGCTCCAAGACGGCCCAAGAGGCCTCCAAGACGGCCCAAGAGGGCCCCAAGAACGCCCCAAGAGGGACCCCAGGGGGGGAACACGAAACAATAATTCGAGCCCTCGGCCCTCAGAAGTCCCCAGGAGGCCCCAAGAGGCCCCCAAGAGGCCCCAAGAGGCCCCCAACAGGCCCTCAGGAGGCCCCCAAGAGGCCCCCAAGCGGCCCCAGGAGGCCACCCAAATGCCCCCCCGAGCACGCAAGCAAGTGCCAGCGACGCTACACTATGGGCCGGCGGAATGAGCGAAGCGATTCAATAAGAATATATAGGGCCGGGGATCCCGGAGAAAGGGCCCCTCCCCCTAACGAATTTGGCCCACCCCGGGGTAACTCTCCAGACGACCCTGGAGAACACCGCGAGAGCCCGAAGACTGCCCCAGAGGGCTCCAGGCGTGCCGGCACGCGCCCGACACGACCCCAGAGGGCCCCAAAACGGTCCACGACGACCCCAAAGAAGCCGTCATACCCCCAAAGAATGCTTCAAAACGTCCCAAGAGGCTTTCAAGAGCACTCCCAAGAAGGCCCCAAGAGGCAAAATTCATTGATTTTCTATTCGTTTTGGGGGAATTGTGAGGTTTTCCTCTTTTCGGCTTCCCGACGCTTCAAGACGGCGGTCTTCTGGGCGTCCGAAGCCGCCGGGGAGGCTCGAAAATCGCCCCACAAGCATCCGAAAATGGCTTCCAGGCAGCCCAAGAGAGCCCCAAGACGGCACAGCAGGGTTCCAAGATGGCCTAAGAGTGCTCCATGACGGCCCAAGATTGCCCTAAAACATCCTACGAAGCATTCCAGATCGTCACCAGGTCGTTCAGGGAGACCGCGGTTGGAGGCAGGGTGGCCTGAGGAAGCCCTCAGAGGCCCGCAGAAGACACCCAGGAGGCCTCCAGAAGGCCTTGAGAAAGCTTGAAACAACTGTTGTAAGGCCCCCAGAGGCCCTCCAAGGAGGAGCCTCCGCAAAAAGAGCTGAGGATAGGGAGAAAACGCAGGGTATGGCGAGAATGAAGAAAAGAAGCGTGGAGGAAGGATAAACGCAAACCATTGTTTATAACGGCGATGCTTGAAAAAGGCAACAAGAAATTATCGCTAAAGTGTCGGCTTGACCTTCCTGCCATTCCGCCTGCGTACCGAACTTCAAGGTCCAAGGTGCATGGCGCGAAGCGCTAATTCAGCCTTGTGTGTATACATCTATATGTATGTACACACGTATCGGCATACATATATATACACATATCGATTCATAGGTGTATACATATATACATATATGAATAATGGATGATGGTATGTATGTATACATCGATCGACATATCTAGATGGCAATGGATCTGTAGATGAATCAATCGTCGTAGACATACATCTATATACATATATCGATATATATATATATATAGATATATCACAATGAATACGTATTAGGGGGACCGACGTCCTGGGATCCCAGCCGACAATGAATACGTATTAGGGGGACCGACGTCCTGGGATCCCAGCCGTCGGTTGGTATGGATAGAATGTGGCCTCTGAGGGCCTGGATATGTCCATACCCACCAGCTGCCGAGGCCCCCGAAGCTCGATCCCTCGGGCGGTAGTTGCGGACAACTCCTCGCCTCAGCGTCTGGGTGGCGTCTGGGCCGCTGCGCGCCTCCCTCGGTGGCAGCGGCACGCCGGCCGACGCTCGCGGGCACGGGGCGGTCCTGAGCTGCGGGGCCGCCCTCTGCGCAGCGCTGCCCGGCTGCTCGTCCTCCGACTCGCTCGCCGTCTTCGTCCTCACGTCCTCCTGCGCGCGCAGAATCTCCGCGGCGGTGAGCAGTACAGCCATCGTGCTACCATAGGGGGGCGCGGCGCGGAGGAAGGAAGGAAGGTGGTTTGCTAGCCGCGGTGAGCGTCGACCACGAATAGGTTCCGCGATCTACACCTACGGAATGGCCCGAAGACCACGGCTCTTCCTGAGCCCAAGAAGGTCCCTATTTCTGCGCCCTGACTGTACCGATGCCACCGCCTGGACACATGATCCTCCTGGGCCTCCGGAGGCGGTGACAGACAGACGGACAAAAGCCGCGCCCCGGCGGAGCGCTGGGCAAGGGGGATGATGAAATCCCTGACATGAGGCGGCGTATATGGGCACACGCGGAAGAACTGAACCCCATCAACGATTGCACTCGAAGCGGCTCAGCAGGCGGCGGATGTGGACGGCTCTGGCCCACGATTGCACACCAAGCGACTCATCTGCGGGCCCCCGCCTGGAGCCCAAAGATATCCAAATCCACTCTCTCTCTCTCTTTTTTTTCTTCTCTCTCTCTCTCTCTTTTTTATGGGCCCTGGGGCATCGGCTCCCTGGGCGGTGGTATAGGAGAGAGGTAGAAATCCTGGCCTCGAAAAGACCTCCTCGCGTCGTGGACGTCGCAAAAGGGGTGCGTTGCAAATTGGTACGGTAAGATCACGCGGTGCTGATAGATAATCAGCGACATGCTCCGCTTTGTGCATTGCGAATCGCACGGACGGCCGCAACAATCACGAATGACGTTTGTCTTCGGCGATGACTATTGATTCCCGAATGTCTCGAAGTCGTCTGATGACTCTAAAATGCCAGAACGACACCCTGGAAATTTCAAAACTCTGGTACGTAATATACTGTATACTCTCTCGAACACAGAATTACTGGAATTCGTTTTGGCGAGACTGTATCGGCGAGAGGGAGTCGATTCGGAAATTCGGGAATCACTGCCTTCGCGACCGGACGGTCTGAAATCACATGTTTGGCGATCAGACGTCCTGGAATGGATGGTTGGGTCGCCCTTCCAGTTGGATGGCGGTCGCATGGTAACGTTGGAATTGAACGCGTCGACGTTGCAAGGAGCGGTCGTTACAAACGCAACGTGGTTGAAAACAGCATGCGTTGCGTTGCACTTGCGGACGTCACAGATAGCATCGCAGTTCCAGCGTTGGCGCCACACCCATTTACGACGCGTGGATGGTTTCGTGCACTCGCTAGCACGCCTCTGTGAGGGCCCTCCCTGGGCTCCAGGGACCGCCAGAAGACGACTCAGCTCGCGAAGGGCGGGCCGAGAGCGGGGGCAGAGCTGTCCGTTGCGATGCTTCCACGGCGTCCGAGTTGCAACAAAAGTCACGACGTCGCAAGTCTGTGCAAAGGGCCTCAGCATGCCGAACCCACTGGGCGCCTCTGGGGGCACCGAGGCCCTGCCGCACGAGTGGGACGGACGGCGACCAGCGCATCCATGGGATCGCGCCTCGCTGTCCAGAGCTCGATAAGATCTGCTCAGATTCGGTCCCCACGCCCCTCCCAGGGTCCTTCTGCGCAAGCGACTCATGCCGTATCGATGCTCGACCGTCCAGGGGCCAGAAAATGCCCTCCAAACGCGCAGAACAACGAATCAAACTACATCCTAGTTGTGTTTCTGCTCGTCCCTGCACGTGTTCTTCGCTGGTGGCGCGCAACCCGGCTCGCGTCCTTTCGCGCTCTCCGCCCCTGCCCTGCCCCCCGGCGCCCTGTCTTCCCCGCCTGTCGTTCGTCGAAGGTCTCGGGCCCCCCAGCGGGGCCCCAGATGCAAGTCGGGCCTATCCTCCTACAGGGGGATCTTGGACTGACAATTTCAAAAAATGATCAAAAAATGCACCCAAAAGATACAAAAATGGTGAACAAACAGTCCCACGGCTGTTTTTTTGGCTATTTTTGGAATGTTCCCCCTGTAGAGGGACAGGCCCGGCTTAACCCCAGATCTTGCCCGCAGCGTCGCACCCCGGCCCCTCCCGAGCGCAGGACGCGGCTGCTCGGAGTGCAGAATGCAACATCAATGTCACGCTGGTCGGACGACCCGCTCAGCGTGTTACTTCGGCGGTGGAAAAACCTCCCTTTTAGTAAACCTCCCCTCAATGAAAACAGCCCAAAACCGAAACTGACGGACCTGGACCCGCAAAAATGACGGCCGCGACGCCATCTCGCGGACCGAAAGCGGCCAATTCGCTAATCGACGTGTCAGGGTAGGAGGTCGATCGACCTCCGATTACCTGCTGGTGCAGTGCAGAGCAGCTGCGCAAAAAGGGAAGGAGTGGCCTGCACAGTCTGAGAAGACGATGCGCGCGGCACTCAAGCTGCTTATCGCTCCCTGGCTGTGCCGGAAGACCCAGGGTCTGCTACAGGCCGCGCGCCGACGACGACGAAGTCGTCGTTTGGGAGGTTGTCCCAAACCTCATCCTCGCTTCACGAGAAAAGCACGCATCACATTTCCCCCTCACAGTGCTTGCAGTCAGAGGTTATTGCTTGCAGTTGTTGCTTAAGTGCTTGGACGTGTTTCCTGGATGTTCCCCGCCCTGGCGCCCGAGCCCGCTCGTGGGCGCATGTGGGCGCCCCGTGCGCTGGGTGAGTTTTCCGAAGTTTCGTCTAGTTTGCGCCCGTGCCCGCTCGTGGGAGCCTCGCGGGCGCCCCGTGCGCTGCGTGGACTTCGGGAGGATTCGCCGCCTTGGCGCTCGTGCCCCGCTCGCGAGCGCGCCGTGCGCTGTGTGGGTGTCTCGAAGATTCGCCGCGTTGGCGCCCGTGCCGCTCGTGGGCGCCTCGAGGGCGTCCCGTGCGCTGAATGGGTTTCCCGAGGTTTCACCTCGTTGGCGCCCGTGCCCGCTCGTGGGCACCCCGTGGGCGCCCGTGCGCTTAACCCACCCATCTTGCGCAGCATAGCTCACACCACATAGCTAAAACCACACATTGGTCACACCACATTGCGTACACTGCTTAGCTTTCACCGCGTAACTCACACCACGTATATTGCACAGCATAGCTTACACTATATTAGAAAGAGGGTGCCCGAACGGTCTTACTCCGTCCCTGCTCGCGTTCGTCCGCCTTGGGGTCGTCTCTCCGGCGGCCACGCTAGGAGGCCACGCTGGGAGGCCACGCTGGTAGGCCACACTGGTGGGCCACGCTGGGAGGCCACGCTGGGAGGCCACGCTGGGAGGCCACGCTGGGAGGCCACGCTTGGAGGCCACGCTGGCACGCTTGGAGGGCTCACCGAAGAGGGGCGGTGTGTCCGTAGCGGCTTCGGTTCAAATCCAGCTAGCAGCGAGCGCACCGTGGCTTCTAAGAGCGCCGCCAAGCACCCTCTCTTATCTGCAGCTGCGGGGGATTAGGTACCTTACATCATATAGCTTTACCAGCACTTCGTTCATCACCTAGCTTGCACAGGCTGGCTCACACCATATAGCTGATACAACGGAGCTTACACAACATATCTTACACCACATAACCTACACAACACAAATTCCATCATATAGCTCACACCACAGAACTTACACGACATAGCTTACACCACATAGCTTGCACACGACACCTCTCATCTCCACAATGAAATCCGCCGACCCTGTCGGCGTGTGTGAGGGGCTTGTCCGTTCAAGTCGTCATCTCCGTCATTCGTTGGTCGTCGTCTCTGTCGTCCCCTTCCCTGCCTCCCACCTTTCCCTGGGCTCGTCGAAGCTCCCCCCTTTCCCAGGGACCTCATCAGCGCGCCAGCCACAGCGAAAATAAGCAACGTCGCAATTGAGTCGAAGGGAAGCCCCTTCCCTTCGATATCTCCCCCGCCGGGGTCCGTCCTGGGGGGGGGGGGTTCAGACGCCTGTGGGGGTGGGAGGGGAGGGGGGCAGAATACGACGCCACCCCTGAGTGGAGGGGGGGGAGGGTGGGGGGGAAGAGGGGAGGATGGGGGGGGGGGGGGGGGGAAGGCGGGCGGTGGGGGGGGGGGGGGGGGGGGGGGGGAGGGCAAGGAGGGGGGCGGCAGAGGGGGGAGGGGAGGAGGGGGGGGGAGGAGGGGGGTTCAGACGAGCCCCCCAAAGCCCCAAGATGGGCCAAGAGTGCCCCAAGAGGCCCCAAAGGCAGTTCAAGAGAACCCCGAATCGCCGAACGATCTGTCCAAGACGCCTTGACGGCCTCCAGACGGCCCAAGAGGCATACAAAGCGCCCCTAAGAGGCCTCCAGGAGCTTTCTCACGAGAGCCCCAAGAGGCAAAATTCATGGATTTCCCAGATACGTTTTTGAAAGATGTTGGCGTTCTTGCCTCTTCCGCTTCCCGACCCGCCAAGACGGCCCAAGAGGCCCCCAAGATCATCGATCGCGCCGAGACGGCCCAAGAGGCCCCCGAGAGGGTCCCCTAACGGCCGAAGAGGGCCCCAAGACGGCCCAAGACGCCTCCAAGACGGCCCAAGAGGCCTCCAAGACGGCTCCAGGAGAGTGCCCAGACGGGGGACCCGAACGGACATTTCGAGCTCTCAGCCCCAAGAGGCCCCCAAGAGGCCCCGAAGAAGCCCCAAGAGGCCCCAAGAGGCTCCCAAGGAGCCCCCAAACTGCCCCAAGACAGCCCAGGAAAGCCCCAATTTGCCCAGGAGGCCTCCAAGAGTGCCTCGAGACGGCGCAAGAGGAAGAAAAGAAAAAAAAGAAAAAAAAAAAAGAAGAAAAAAACAAAAAAAAAAAAAAAAAGAGAAAGAAAAGATAAAAAAAAAAAGAAAGAAAAAAAAAAAACACCTAACCCCCCCCCCCGACCCCCCGCCCCCCCCCCCCCCCCCCGCCCCCCCGCCCCACCTCCTCTCCCCCCCCCCTCCCGCCCCCCCCCCCTCAACACCCTTCCCCTTCCTTCCCCCTCCTTCCTACCTTCTTCTCCCCCTTCCTGACTTCATACCCCTCCATCCCATTCCACGCACCACCACCCACCACCACCACACCACACCACCACCACCACCACCTCCACCACCTCCACCACCTCCACCCCCCCCCCCCTT